ACTTCTAGGAAAACATCCCCACTTTAAAACAAAGCTTCTTGTTATATCAGGGCTATCCACGCCACTTTAAGTCTTACATGCTTCTCGTTGACATCGAGCTCGCCCTGCTTAGAAACGCTACCGCTGCAATCGAGGTTGGTAGAGTGGTTGCCGCTCACGCACCTGTCAGTAGCAAAGTGTCTCAATGTGTGCGTGCTCGTCTTTTGTTCTTTCGGGTCTTCAAAAAGGCAATTATACTATCATTAAACAATCTACAGGCTCGTCACAATTACTGTGTTACTCCCGTGGTGGGTACATGTGACCTCGAGGTGGGAGAACGATGTCTCCCAGTCTACCTTTAGTTCGTCAGCATTGACCACTCTTTTGCAGGGCACGAAAAATAGACAAGTCATTATTGTAATTGCTCAAGCCCAAATTTGCGTAGACAGCAGCGTGCCTTCAATGTTTTCTACAACCAACATGAGTAAAGTATGTGAATGTATGTTGTAATGTTGTATTTGGATTAGTTGATCAGGTGTAGAGTAACGCTGATGGCGTGACTCAATCGTTCGCGAGGAAGAAAAACATCTCTTTTCTATCATTGAGGAACCTCACTTCTTTGTTGATCCACTTTCATCTGCAATGATTACGGTAATTTATGATTGATACACACTGTTCATTCCAATTAGCCCTTCTGCCAATGTAGCATCTAAGCCCCCGAAAACACTTCTTTACTGTCCATGGTTCTATTACTTTTAGTTCTAAGGGAATACCAGAGAACCGATTCTCTGATTCTATTGAGATAAGCCTATTTTTCCAGAGTCTACTTGCTGCTTGAATCTGTTTTAGGGTAAAAATGGAGTGTATTCGCCGAAAGCAAAAAGTCTTGATGGACTCAGTTGAAAATTGGAATGTTTGTGGAAAAAAGCAAACGTTCGGAAGTGTCAAACGCGGTTCAAACTGTTTAATTTAGCCTTCTGAGAGTAATATTTGGGATCAAGAAGCTCGAAGAGCTCTTACAAACAGTGGGCTGCCTCACATTTTCACTTAGTGGGGTGATGTTGTGTTCCCAATATCCGTCAAACGCGTAATATGGATCGCAGCAACGCTGGTTTATCCAAAAAATTGAAGCGAAAGGCACATTTTTGTGCTAATCTAAGTAACTAGAGCCTGAACATTTTTGTGACCTAAAGAAGCG